GGTCCTGGAGCTCTGCTTGATTGGGATGGGGGGGGGGGGGGGTGAGTATCTCGCTCCTGGACCCCATATATGTACCTATGGAAAGCTGCCCTCATTACCCCGAAAGGTGCTTCTCCTAGCAAGCAGTAGCTTAAATATAAATATATTTAAACTGTAGAGTTGTAACGCATTGAGAAAATGCAGGAGACCATGCGAAATATGTCTTGCATCATCAAGGAAAGTGTGAGAATTGCTCATGGAAGGAAAGAGCACCCAGGGGTGTTAGGATCCACTCACACTGTACTCATCTCCAGCCGTCACAGACCTGGTGAAGGTAATCTCTCAGACTGTGTCACAGCTTCCCGGAGCTCATTTTAATGCTCTCTACACCACGGGGCCCACAGATGACCCCTTCCTGGATTTTCCAATGGGATTGTGCGCCTGACTGTGTCAGGCGGGAAGCTGGCAGCTCGGGATACCTGCTGTCTGGGTTTCAGCTCACAGTCTGGAGTAATGTCTGGGACGATCGACGTGTCGCATCAGCCGTCACTCTTTCTCCTTCTTACCCAGGTTGACGTTTTTTGACAGCTTTGACACGGTTCATTGTGAGACAGTCAGAGGCTTTAAAGCAGTCGCTCACTCATTCTCAACGAAAAATACAAACTGATACTGCACCCCTAGCGGGATTTCTCCCTCATTATCAGGCTCAGGAACATCTTTAACCCCTCAAAATGTTCCAGGGGACCAAATAAATGGCTGACCTTGTGCTCAGACCACAAGATTCACTCTCAGCTGTCTATACACTACAGGGACAAAAGTATTGGGACACACCTCTTAATCTTTGAATTCAGGTGTTTCATTCAGACTCATTGCCACAGGTGTATAAAATCAACCACCCAGACATACAGTCAGGTTTACACAGTTTTGTGAAAGAATGGGTCATTCTGAAGAGTTCAGTGAATTCAAGCATGGTACCATCATAGAATGCCACCTTTGCAATAAGTCACAGTTTGTGAAATTCCTACTAGATATTTCACAGTTAACTGTAAGTGGTATTATTGCAAAGTGGAAGCGTTTAGGAACAACAGAAACTCAGCCATGAAGTGGCAGACCATGTAATGTAACAGAGTGGGGTCTCTGGGTGCTGAGGTGTATAGTGCGTAAATGTCGCCAATACTCTGTTGACTTAATAACTGTAGAGTTCCAAACTTTCTCTGTCATTAACCCCAGCACAAACACTGTGCACTGGAAGCTTCATGGAATGGGCTTCTATGGCCGAGCAGCTGCATGCAAACCTCACATCACCAAGTGCAGTGCTAAGGATCGGATGGAGTGGTGTAAAGCACGCTACCACTGGACTCTGGAGCAGTGGAAAAATTCTGTGGAGTGATGAATCACACTTCTCTGTCTGGCAGTCTGATGGACAAGTCTGGGTTTGGTGGATGCCAGGAGAACCTACCTGATTGTATTGTGCCAACTGTAAAGTTTGGTGTTGAGGTTAATGGTATGGGGTTGTTTTTCAGGGGTTGGCCTCTTAGTTCCAGTGAAGGAAACTCTTAATGCTTCACCATACCAAGACATTTTGGACAATTTTATGCTTCCATCTTTGTGGGAACAGTTTTGGGAAGGACCTTTACTGTTCCAGCATGACTGTGCCCCAGTTCTCAAAGCAAGGTCCATAAAGACATGGTTGGTGAGGAAGAACTTGTCTGGCCTCAACCGCATTAAATACCTTTTGGATGAACTACAATGGAGATTGGGAGCCAGGCCTTCACACCTAACATCAGAGCTTGACCTCAAAAATGCTGTTCTGCATGAATAGGCAAAAATTCCCACAGACACACCCCAAAGTCTTGAGGAAAGCCTTTCCAGAAGAGTGGCAGCTGTTATAGCTACAAAGGGGGAACTAACTACATATTGATTCCTATGCATTTAGAATGGTGTTCCTGTAGGTGTAATGGCCAGGTGTCCCAATACTTTTGTCCATATAGTGAATGTGTGTGTGTGTGTGTGTGTGTGTGTGTGTGTGAGACAAGGGAAAGCAAGATGTAGACCATGATTCTTCCACACATCACACATTCCGAGATGCCTTATTGGTCTGACTGGAGGTCCTCCATTTCACACACACACACACACACACACACACACACACACACACACACACACACACACACACACACACACACACACACACACACACACAGGGCGGATGTTGCATCGTTCTTGTCTCCTCAGCAAGGTCTCACACACCTGAGCTACTCACTGTTAAATAAGCTATTTCTGCAGCAAAGCCTGTCCAATGCTCCTCCCCAGAGTCCGGTGTCAAGCCTAATTACCAGCCCTCTAACACATATTTCCCCCTGGGACATTTTTGCATTTCAGCTTATTACCACCCAGATTGGATTTGTTGATTGATGGATTTAATTTTTTCCCACCAAGTTCTCAGGCAACCTTCTCAGCACTTAGTGAAGGCAGGAGAAGCAACAGCTCGTGAATTGGTAGGTTCACCATCCACCCAGTGCTGACTGACACAACAATCCCGTCAAATGCACCAAAGTTTGTACAAGCATTTACATGCAAATAAAACACATTCTAGAAATATTGCCTAAAATGCTTACTCATTCACTGAATATATTCCTTATTGCTGTGACATTCCTAAATAAACAATCGCCAATCAGCAGCACAATCAGGTGCCTTCAAGACTATAACTTGAAACTAAATGGGGACCAGCTGTAAAAGTGGTTAGATGCTGATAAGAAGATTTTATAAATGGCTGCCTGAACCACAAACGTCTGTTAAAAGGACCTTGGGATAAGGTTTCAGGATAATGAAAAGATTTTAGCACAGCATTACCTAAAACTGTGACTTTGTGTTATGAGTGAACCTGAAAAATATCTATCTCTCTAACAGAGGAGAGAACACTTTGGTTGTTTCGTATTCATTATTTTTTGTTCACAGGAAAATTCCCAAGTAAATTGTTAGGGGGGTAAAAAAAAAAACATTTGGGGGAAAAAAAAAAAATTCTGCTTGTCACGCAACAGAAAGCGGAAGTGCAAGAGAGCAAACATCCTCTAATGGCAGAAACTGCTGGTTCTTTTTTTCTGAAATACCTACAGATGGCTGCTTTGTCACAGTGCAGCCTGAATGCTTAGGAAGCTGGAATCTCATGCATAACAATCATCTGGAGGGAGCAGGGAATCCACACTGCAGAGAGCGGGCAAAGTACGTTAGCCCTGGACCTGGGGTCCCCAGCCAGGAGCGACCCAGACACTGACATGGGAGGTAATTGCACGAGGCCGCCAGTGTTAAATCGTGACTCGTGTAGTGAATCCGTGGAGGTGCATGGACATTACAGAGGTCCGCGGTGTCCAGCAACCGTGCCTGTCTTTGCCCACGTGATGTGTTTTCTGCCCCATTCTATGGCAGCTGCAGAAGCCTGGCTGTAATATTGCATCATGTTCCATTTTCCCGATTTCCTTATATTATATTATATTATATTACGTGCTCTCTGGACACAGTGACCAATTTCACCTATTTATGAATGCAGAAGTAAATCCCGTTAAGTAGCTCCCTTAAGGGTACTTCAGAAATCAGACATCTTTATTGACCATGTGTGTTAAATATACAGTACAAGGGATTTGTCTTTGGGGGGGGGGGACTGGGAGGTGTTTCAGGAGTGACTACAAATGTTTTACCGATCGCCCTGTTGATCACAATCGACCATTTGGTGTCCACTGGTCAACCAGCAGTCAAAAGATAGATAGATACAGATAGACAGACATTATGTAGCTTGACTCCATTGCAAAGGGAATGAATGGAAATCAATACAAGAAACTTCTTTATATGCGTCGTGACGTAGCGTGCACGTGCGTTCCCAGCAGGAGACGGTGCTCCCCGGCCGATCGGACTCCCTAACTCCGCCGAGTCCCACGTCTATCCCCCTCCCTGGGCGCCGGGGGCGAACTCCGCCGGAGTCACGGCGGGCTCCCGTCGTATATCGCGGTCATTTCCGGGCGGATTGCAAATTGCTTACCTTTCAAAACGAGTGGGACCGGTCAGGTGCTCTGCAAAGTCAAACAAATACAAAACCAAACCCATAAAGGAGCAGGTGTGTTATGGGGAGGGGGGATCTCTTTAGGAAGGTGACCCTGACCTTACTGCACCTGGCCACTGGTAACGTAAGTATTACGGTCACGGACATTTCTGTAGATGAGACCTTCATGAATCCGCTCATGCGGTTATACTGACAAAGTGAAGGTTAATATATAGTAAAAATGTATCTGCCGGATTATGTCACGCTAGCTGGTGCAGCTGCACGGAGGCACAAACGGACTCCTATTTTTAACAGTCCCTGTACCTCTCGTAAAATGCTGATGATTTCTGGGGTGCAAAAGTGAACAGGATACTTACAGTAGTAATAATAATAGTGTCACAGTGACTCAATGGGGCGGCAATGCAGGGGTCCATACCGTCTCTGCACGGTGGAGTTACACGGGTTCCATGGGTTCATCTGCCCCAAAACCACGTGTGTGGCACCAGTGCCTGTGTGCAAGTGTCTGATTGCCCTGCGACGGACTGGCATACAGCCCTGGGTCTCCCCCTGCCTTGTGCTGCCTGCGATAGGCGACAGACTCACTGCCACCCCATAGGCAGTACGGGAAAGAGATTTATAATACAGTATTTATGCCATTACTGTGCTGCTTAATTAAAAACACTGTACCAAACCACGTTTAAAGCGCTTCCACGTTTATAAATACAGCAGCCGTCCTTGGGGGCCGTGATAAAAAGCTGAATAAGCAAGAACGAGCCCTTGGTTGGTATTGGGGCGAAAATGGATTTGCTATCGTCCCTAAAGTACGGCGAGCTAGCGGGCAAGCGACAGGGATCCCCGCTGTCAAATGATATTTCCGACGGGGGGTGGGGGTATGACTCGGGGGGCGGGATATGGGATGGATGAGAGCGGGGGTGGCACCGATCGCTGGCGTTCCGGGCGATGTGGGCTGGGATGCGTGATGCAGATGTAAGGGCTGCCGGGCTGGGGGGCAGGTAGCGAGCAGCGGTACCGCCGGACGGCGCACATCGGCGCTCCGGGTGACAATAGACGCCTTTGCGCGCTACTCCTCCGCCACATTTCGCACGGTACCCGATTCAAGTGGATCCGTCTTCGTAGGTGAGACTGATAACGATCCAGGCTTATTTTAAAGATTATACGTGGCTTATATACGGGTTTCTCCTTTAGTGGGAATGTACTGTAGGCGCCTATTGTTTCTATAAAGCTTTTTTAATGAGTATAAAAGGCTTTTGTTCTGTTTGCATGCAAGAATAAAACTGAGTAGGCAATTTCCAGTTTTAAAACGTTCAATTTCCTTATAATTACATTGTAGTGTTGGCGTATATCGTTATTTTATATTAAGGAATAGAAGTAAACTGCACTTTACTGCCTTTCGCTAGGTACAGATGTTCAATAAATCGCTCTTCGATTTATGAACTTTACAATCAGAGCTCGTTATCGATAGTCCATAAACTTATTGGCATAGAATGACATTATTGTGTCGCCCGCCATAATTTAACTAAATGTCTGAAGCGCAAACAGCAGCTTACGTTGCTTGTCGTGTTTGATGAATTATTAGTTTGTTTTCATGTTCAGCGTTGGAAGTGCCAGCAGCGTTTAATGTTTTAATTAAATGGCTAACCTTGTCCAGATTTTTTTTTATCGAAAAAAATGATACATATATATTTTCAACATATAAATAATACGCACCTCTCTCGTATTTTCGCTTTGACGCTAAATCAGGTTATTTTAATCACGGAGTAACTAATTGCACTGTAAGTTTTATTATTTTTTTTCCAAGCAAGGTCAGCTTGAGTTTTAACTGAGGGATTTGTTCCTGTTAACTTTTATAAATACCCGTGAACGGGAGGGGACAATTCAGTGACATCCCCGGCTGGCTTATTTAACGCCGTTACAACAATACAACAAACAATATGTATTTTCGTCTTGCATGGATTTGTGCTCTATGTTTTTATTGCAATTTAAGCGTTATTTTGCTGGTAGTAAAGTATTGCAACGTAAACGAATGATAAGCTGTAGAGGTCAGGCGTTAGTGAAAATCAGCCTGGTCTTGTGATGCATTTGTGACAATACCGTGTTTTGTTTAAGCCGGCACTATGACTACGATAAAGCCGTTACCACGACACTACTAGGTATTTAAAAGTTTAAAAGCTATTTCTAAGAAATAAAGTACGACTTTCCCATGCATAATAATGAAAACCTATGAAACTGAACTGCCCGTGATTGTAAGGGGATCAGGAATCCAGGCACGTTTGTGCATGTAGTTTGCTCATGGGTTTAAGTGCTAGTGAGTGCTATTGTTTGTGCATGGATTTACTACATAGCACTGAAGAGTGCCCTTGCATAGGCCTGACTGAGTTGAGGTTTAAATTATTTTCTTTTGTCTTTTGGCTTAGCAGTCATCATGCCTAGATCTACTCTGAATCCTACACGGGAGGCTTGGATCAAGAGTCCAACCTCGAGGAAAATGACATCATCTGTTACTTGGTCTACTTGACATCTCTATCCCCTCTGATCCCTGAGTGTTTTCCTTCCCTTTCATCCAGGCTCCACTCAGGAGTTGGCACGCCATCACACCATCCAAGTGCGGGGAGCGGCTACTCAGGCCTGCGAGGAATTGGATCGGAGCGCTTTGCCATTCCGGCGCTCATCTGCACTCTGTACTGGTAAATATTTATAACCTAGTTTACCATCTGTGATTCATTCTGCCCAGATATGGGCAATCGCTTAATCATAATAACATATGCGAATGGAATTTTTACTGTATTTACAGGGCAGCCAGGCTAACTGTTAATTCTTTAGGGTAAAGCAGTAATTTGTCGAGTTGTGTGCATATTAATCACTCAAAACCACATTCTTATGCTTGAAAAATAAATAGCTGCACTTGTAAATAATTGCTGCCTGAAATGAAATCTCTGTGTTGATATACTGTAGATCTGGGGTGGGCTGTCTTACACAGAAAAGGCTGTTGTATTTGTGGGTTTTCGCTGCAACTCTATAATTGGATTACTAATTAGAGGACTGATTGACTGAAGAGTCCTCACACCTGGGTATGAACAGGTGACTTAAAGGTTTTCCCCAAAAGCTGTGTACACACCGGCCCTTTGCGGATAAGGTTGGAGACCCCTACTGTAGATGGTAACATCATTCCAAAACCTCCGTGCTTTTGCATCTATGTTTTTGAAAAGGCACAGTTTCTCGGTAGGTAGCAATGTTGCCTCACACCTCCAGGGTTAAGGGTGCGAATCACACCTCCGCTCTCTGTGTGTAGAGTTTGCATGGTCTCCTGGGTCATGCAGGTTTCCCATAGTTCAGAGACGTGCAGTTGGGATAATGGGTCCCTCCAAATTGCAATGAACTGTCATGATGACCAAGACCCTCCTGTCCTGCTGCTCACCAGGATAGGTGGCTGTGAGGATCCATGGATGTGATATCAAAACATGCCAAAGGAGAATTTATTTTCTCATCATTTTATTGGAATTTCTTTTGCTGGCCACTTACAGTGGACAACTGGAGGCAAAGCAGCAGAAACACAGCCGGCTGTGGACTAGGGGGCGCCAGAGGGGTGCAGGCCCGGGTGCAAGTGGTGGCTCATCGGTTAGACGAAAGAACCAGAAACACACATGGGTGTTTCTTTGTTATAGTCAATTGATATCGATACTTAGATGTTTTTCTGTGTTCTTTGAAATTTGTTTGCCTGGTTAGATCTTTACAATTCTGTTCCATGGGTCTCTCAGGAGAAGCGTTGGGCCTGCACCTCACAGAAGTGCGGCTCGTCTCAGCAGAGGGGCTGTTTCTATAACATCCCTGCCTAGTGTTATTATTCAGACGGCATGGTCCTACCAGAGCTGATGCGTGTAGTGTCTTATAGCCAAAGAGATTAATGTAGCTGTTCCTGGAAAAAAAAGGAATTCAGGCCAAAATCCAGGCAGATATAAGTCAGAAATCTGGAAAGTGGAAGATGACAGCTGATGTTTTCCTCTGGTGACAGATGGATGTCTTTAGCTCTTCTCAGCTGGCTTTGTATGCTGAGTGGTAAACGTTGGATCCAAGGATCAGTCTGTTCAGTAACTGACGGCTTACGAGCCTCAGGAATCTCTGGAAGGCTTCATGGAGCTCGAGCTGGCCGTCTCCGACCGCTGCTTATTGTACCAGCAGCTTGACAGCCTCTCTCCCTACAGGCCTCTCTCCCTACAGGCCTCGCTCCCTCCAGGCCTCTCTCCCTCCAGGCCTCCCTCCATCCAGGCCTCTATCCATCCAGGCCTCTCTCCCTTCAGGCCTCTCTCCCTACAGGCCTCTCTCCCTACAGGCCTCGCTCCATCCAGGCCTCTATCCATCCAGGCCTCTCTCCCTTCAGGCCTCTCTCCCTACAGGCCTCTCTCCCTTCAGGCCTCTCTCCCATCAGGCCTCTCCCTCATCAGGCCTCTCTCCCTTCAGGCCTGAGTAATTTTCAGTCTATCCTGTCTCCTCTTGGTATGAAAAATTGTAAACATTGTATCTTCAAAAAGTTGTAGCTGCTGATCTCAGAAAAGGGATACACCCTTCTGTTTTTTTTTTTTTATTTTCTTGTCACCTATCCGAAGCAAGTTCGTGATGAACGTGGAGCCTTTACAGCTGCATGTGGGACACACCCTGGATGTGATGCCAGGTCTTTGTAGGGCATACAGAGGCAGGTGCACACGCACAAACAGAACCAATTCCTGGAGTATTTGGGGTTAAGGGCCTTGCATAGTGGCCCAATCAGGAAATCACTCTGCTGGTTCTAGGGCTTGAACTAGCAACCTTCTGATCTTACGTGCTACATGCTATCTTGCTGCAAGCATGAGAAGGATGTGAAGAATTCCACAAGCCAAAACAAGTGATGGGTATCAACAACCCTAGAGATGTCTGTACGAGATCTGGTTCTTTGAAATTTGAGTTATATAGTAGATTGTATTCTATCACGGTGTGTGGCTCAGCAGGTTAGGACTCTTGGGCTGTGATCAGAAGGTTGCAGGTTCGAATCCCTGGGCCAGTGTATTATTGTGCCCTTTAGCAAGGTCCTTAACCCCCAGCTCCAGGGGGGCTGCATGCTGGCTGACCCTGTGCTGTGACACCCCCCCTCCCCCCTCCCTCCATAGTTGCTTTCATTTCTACATCTGAAATGACAATTTTCCCCTGGGGAGGAATAAATTATCTATTTTGTTTAAGAAGGAGTCGTACTCTTCACAGAGCAACCTCTGTTAAGTGACCCTGGATATGCTGGGATTGCATTTTCCTAAATTACACACTGTTTTTATGGCAGCAAATAGTAGATTCGCAGTACTGGAAACCACAGAATTTCTCTGGGGATTTTAAAATATCACTATGAATGTTACGTAAGGAAGTGTTGTTTTTCTGGTTGAGTGTGACCCTTCAAAGGAATCCCTGGTACTTGTGGGGGTTCAGTGTCATGCCTTGTTTAGCCAGGTCATCCCGATAGCTCTGGACTCCCCCCTATGTTCTGCCCAAATCCTCCAGAGCCCTCTTATCCATACGGAAAACGGCTCCTTGCATTTTTTTAACCCTTTTTCTCTGTGCAGACTTTGGATGCGTCAGTCTTTTAAGTGGCGTCTCTCTGTAACCTCGGACCGCTTTTAGCTGCGCGTGGGGCTCGGTCGATGCAGGTAACCAGGGGTCGGGTGCCGACCGGTAGCGGAGCTGAGAGAGGTAGGAATTAAAAAAAATATTCAGCAGGTAAACATGCTCACTCCGTGCTTTGTCTCCCTTTCTTAGTATTTTCATCATTGAAGCATTGTTTTTTTACAGTTATTAAAGTTGTTAAAATTGTAACCACTTATTCGGTGGGGGGGAGGGGGGAGGTGTTGGATTTCAAGTTTAACTAATAAATTCAGGATGACAGAGTAGCCGTTTCATCAGCGCTAATCTGCATGCGACTCCTTCCACTGTCAGTTTGGGTGGAATTAAGTCTAATTACAGCTGTTGGGAGTAGAATGAGTGATTTGACACTTAGCTGGTGGAAAGAAGTAATTACATCTGGTGATTCATTTCTAGGTTCATCTATTGCAGGTACATGCATCTGAAAAACAACTTCAGTGTGCACTGCATAGTGATTACTGTAGACCCCTATTCAGGAAGCATTGTGAGCACTGTGCCGGGTTAATATTAGGTAAGGGCAGGAATGAATTATGTACCATTTTTCAATCTCGCAAGCACGGGACACCTGGACACCATACTGTGCCCGGCTCATTTCATCAGTCTGCCCGTTTCAATGTCCCCATCGAAGCCTCCTGAAAGGAATGAAGAGGTCACACGCTGACACTTCAAACAAAATTGGATTCATCCCAAACACCACAGCAACAGGAATTAAGTGGTCGGGCCGCTCAGAATTAAACTGCATTAATCACGCATATCGGTGCACAATGTAGCATTTTGGTTTTTAGAATTATTGCCTTTTATTTTATCTAATGAATCCCAGCTAGTATACATCTGGCTAAGCAGATGTACTTTTTGTTTAATAATATTTATACTTTTTGTTATATCATGACCCTCATCAGGAAATGTCTGTAGATGGATGGATGAATGGATGAGCTTCTTTATTTACGCCGTATTAATGAAATTATCGCTTTGTTATTCTGTGAGTAACTGCTGGCATGAGTTGAAAACAGAGCAAGCTGCTCTCATTGCATTATAGACTGTCAACCAGTGAGAGATTCACTTACTGCTAGCAAGTCACAAAAAAAAGGGCTTGAATTAATTACACAGTTAGTTGCTGGAAGCAGGACTGACACTGAAATCTGCACTAATATGTGTAAATGTATAAAAATATATAATGAAGGAACTATGTCTGCTCAGATGAGCCTGGTGTGTGGTTTAAAAGGTACAGTTCCTACACTCAGAAAAAAGGATAAGAATTTGTACCTTTGTTATCATTGGGGCTGTGCCTTGTAATTGTACCTTTTAAGGTACAGAAATGGACTCCGAAGAACATCCCAAAAGTACAAACAGCATTAACGTACCATCAATGGTACAGAAATGATCCTCAGACTCCATTTCTGTACCTTAAAGGTACAATTATCTACAGCTAAGGGTACAATTGGCAGACCCTTGAGGGTACAGTCCCAGTGACAAGCAAAGGTACAAATTGGTATTCTTTTTTTATACCCTACTCACTGCTTTTTAACCAGAATTCAGGTTGCTGTGCCAAGCCTGAGATTTTGGTGTTTAGACTAAGAAGAACCTAGATGAATGATGTGGAAGCAGCCAAGTTGAAAGCCTGGGACTGAATCCATCCCGTGAGTCTGTGGCAGGATTTGCCGTTTGCTGACGCTCCCCATCCCACCTGGCAGGGAGAGGAGGGAGGGCCGTCGCTTCCACACTCCAGAGCAAAGGGGCCAACTTCAAGAGACATGGTTCATCATGACCGTTTACATTCTTGCTGCTAGGGCAGATTTCCAGGGTTCTTCTCAGTGTCAAGGTGGTGTCAACCCAGAGATGGATATTGTGTCTTCGACGCTGTCGACCGTAGCGGAAACTGAGGTAGAGGTGCCTTGTGTTTAATGTGATGGTTACATTCCTCATACGTGCCCTGTGGCCAGTGAGAAGAACCTGGTTAGCTTGCAGACACAATCACTTCCCACGCAGTGAAGAGTCCAAGTCTGACGCTATTCGCTGTTCGTTGATGCTG